GTGGTTGTTGTCATGTGCCATCAAGTCGGACCCAACTCATAGCAACCCCTCCTTGGGTTTCCGAGGCAGTATCACTACGGAAGTAGATTGCTCCATCTTCCTTCCGAGGAGTGGCCAGTGGGTTTGAACCACCAGCCTTCTGGTTAGCAGTCAAGTGCCTTAGCCACTATGCTACCAGAGCTCCCGGGTAGGGTGGTAGTTAAGGTTATATGTCAACTTGGCTGAGCCTGGTTTCCAGTACCTGGGCAGCTGGATGCAATTACTTCTCATGATGAGATTGGTAATCAACTCCATGGGGGAATCTACTGTGAGCAGCTGAGTTGCTGCTGTAGGGATGTGGTCTGCTTCTAGTATATAAGAAGACACTTTGAGAAAGGTCTCTGAGCTTCTTGGCACATTTGGATCCTGCGTTTGGCTGAGTCCTCAGTGAGTGGCCTGCCATATTGTCTGCTGATCTTGGGACTATTTCTGGACTTGTACTAGTGGCCTGCTGTGTTGCTTGATAATCTTTGGATTGTGCCAGAAATCCAATTTATTTGTCGACCTTGGGTTTATTGGCCTCAGCAGCCAGCAGCTGCCCGAGTTAAGAGACACCTCCAGCTCCAGTGGGCTGAGATCAAGAAGCAGACCTAAAGCCCAAAGTCGAAGGGCCTTCACCCAACCCCCTAGTGCTGACACTTTGAACTTACACTTCTAGCCTCCTAAACTGTTAGGAGAATCCATCCCCATTTGTTAAAGCCACCTACATTTATGGTACATTTTCTGTTACAGAAGCACTAGAAAACCAAAATACCACCTATATACCACACATCATTCAAGGTACGTTGGTTACCATGGTGAACGAGGCAGCCTTCATGGCACTTAGAAGCCAATAAAAATAATGACAGCGTAAAAATATACTCCAAGGGAGGATTTAGGTTTCATAAGAATACATAGAAAAAAAGAATCTTCTAACCCATTCTAGAAGTGTTTTGAGAGAAATCAAACTAAAATACAAGTGGACGTTTCTCAAGTATGAGGAATGGTGACTATACATTATTTTAAATTATTAAATTATCTTAAAACTACTAATAATAGCTAGCATTTACTAAGGGAGACATTCACTGAATCATTTTCTGACAGCTGCGGGAGAGCAAATTTTCTTATATTACTTTAACTCAGTTTCAGGAGGAAGCTTCAGAGAAATGTTTTATTTCCTATAGTTTGGGGCCCCATGCTTGCCCACCAACTCACTCTTAAGCTAATTTTGAGGGAGTCAGTTTAAGCAGAAAGAATACAATATCTTCTGGTAATTAATGACAGGAGTATAGTCAAATCTCTTCACTTCCACTGGCCTCAGTTTTTGATCTGTACCATAAAAAATGATTTAATTATCTCTGAAGTTCTATTCTACAATTTTTCTTTCTGTCTACAGTGTAACAAAAGAAAGGTTAAATATTCATGGAAGGTAAATAAATGTTCTCAGATCACATGGCTGGAGGTAGAGGTGCCTGATCTTTCAATCACAATGCAAAATACCCTTTTTCTTTTTCACTTCTTTTTTATTAATGCTACTATCTTTAAAAAAATCTAAGGGAGAAGTTATTGACAATCCTATCCTAAAATAAAAGTAATGTTCTCATTCCATTTTAATCTATTTAAAATAAGTTCATAGACATAGATTACATTATACTCTTTCTGTTGACATATATTTATATTTTGCAAAGTCTTTTTTAACAATATATTCTCTTAATTTATTCCTTACAGTTGATCAGTACATATACATATATGGATAAGATCTTTGTTACTTCTTAGAAATAATAAAATAAATATTTCTTGTAACTTGTTTTCTTTACTCAACAGTGCATCAAGGAATTCCTTCCCATTTCAATAGGTGTAAGGGAATAAAGTCATTTTAATAGCTGTGTAATATTCCATGATGCAGTTGTAGCAGAGTTCATTCACTTTTCTATTGATTATATAGATTTTTTTTTAACCATTCCACTACAAATAATATAATCATTCTTGCTTATATTTTCATATTAGTACTTTAACTTCTGTAAGACAAATTCACAGAAGTGAAATTGCTGAGACAAAGAATACTTGTATTTTTAATTTTAATATAAGTCCAGATTGCTTTCCATCTTGAGATCTCTGTTCTCACTTAAGTTTTGGTTATAGACTCAGATGGCTTATGTAAGTGATATATTCTTAAAAAAATCCCTCATAACCAAAATATCTTCTTTCTGAAAGGTGAGTCATATCTTGGCTAGTTTTATGATTCTAATATTACAGAATCAATTCATTCTTCTCAGTTTACTTGTATAGAACCTCTGTATCCACAGTCTTCTAAATCTGGTTGGTAAATGAGAATTTGATTTCTTTTGCTTTGTAAACTTCTCATTTTTCATTCTGGAGATCGATTTTTCAATTTATCTTTGAAATTCAAAATGTTTCCAGTTGTTTGTATGAATGTGTGCACGCTTTTCCCATTAATCCTGCTTAGGACTCTAGAACTCTTTGAATCTACACGACTCAAATCTAGTGATTGTGACTGGGTTTACTACTCCATCCATTCTTTTTTTTTTCTCTTCTGGAATTTTTCTATTTTTCACTATTAGATTGCATAGATCTATCCTTCAGTTCCTTTGTGTCATCCATAGTGATTTTTGTCTCTGAATTTTTGTTTTGAGGTATTTCATCTACTACATCTTCTGTAGTAGAGGATACCTCTTTCAAGTTGCCTATTTGGTTTTTAAATTTGAATCTTTCTTTGGTTCTAGAATGTGTGTTTACATGCTGTAATTGAATGTGCTTAATTTAAATGCTCTTATTTGTTGTTGGTGGTGGTTGTTGTCATGGTTAATGCTATCTATAGGCTTGCAAGGGAAGAAGCCATTTGTTGAAGGCATTGCATAGTCTTTCAGGTTGTTGCTGGGTCTCTTGGATGCTTCTTATCTCCTAGGCAGTTAGGTAAAGCTGATAGAGTTGTGTAACAATATCCAGCTATCAATGGTAGGAGTGCTACAGTATCTATACCTGTGAACCTGGTATCTGGAAACTCTACTGAGGCGCTAGGAGGAAAGTGCTTCACTCCTGGGTTCTCCCAGCAATTTCCAGAGGTAACCAGGACTCTATGCCAGCTTCAAGTACCTGTGTCCATCCGGCCCACAGTGCAGTCCCCCTACAGGTCATCTGTTGTCAGCAGGATCAGATAAACACTCCTAGGATCACACATAAGTAGACAGGGAACAGCAGGTCACCCAGGGTGGATCATTCTCCAAGAGCCATTGCTTCTGAGCCCTCTCTGAGGGATTTTCTGCTGCTGGTCCCTCAGCCCTCGTCAGGTAGAGAGGGAAAGGAAGTCTCTCCTCCGGAGATCCTGGAAGAGTCCATGCCCTCCAATGTGCCTTGCACATTCTGCCTGCTTGCCCAAAGTGGCTACTTGCTTGTTTCATAGAGGTGGTAAAGAGGGAGCTGGAGATGGAGAGGCAAGAGCAACACAAGTTCAGACTACCAACTTTCTCCAGGGAAGGTTTTGCTTTCATAGAACCATTTCCAATTCTACAGATGGCTTAGAGAAATGGCTTAGGGATCTATGAGAAGCCATTATATGGATTCCCAGCTAATGGGAGCCAAAGCTTTTCCTCTAATTCATTTCATCAAGAGGCCAAGCTTTTCTCAAATTTAGGGGGTGGGAGCAATTAGCTTAATAGTAATATTAATAAACCTTTATATATACTAAATTAAAATTTTACATAAATAAAACCAGATATGATTAGGGAAGTATGCCCATCATTTGTGTAG